CAAAATACTCTGAGTCCTAGTGCCGAAGGTTCAATTCATTGTATGCAACTAAACACACTCATACATTTGTGGTCCTTTTTAAAAATTGGTACTTAAAGAACCCACCCTTTGTAAGTCATCCATGTTGTTCCCTAGTCATTTTATCTTTACTCAGATTGATGAAGAACGGGGGCTTGTTTTATGGTGTTTGTATTTGTGCCTAGTGCATGTTTTAACATGATAGATATAATGCTTTGTGTAGCTATAGTTTCCTAGAAAAGTCAGTCTTTTAGGAATTGTTTTACAGATCTTCAATTGAGGTTTTCTTTAAATTTCAAAAAAAAAAAAATGAGGAGAATGGCTTTATGAAAAATCATTATGGGGCCGGCAAAGGAGGGAGAGTGAACAGAGGCAGAACAATAAAAAACACAGGTGGATTTTCGGTGGTGGGAAATGATGCAAAGTTTTGGCCAATTTCAAGCAAGAGTTTAAATGTTTTGTTCTCTAATGAAAATATTAAAGCTTCTGAATCTCTATGGTTTGTTTGTATATGAACATTTAAGGAATCCTAAAAAATATAATGGAAGTATTGGCACCTAAGAAAATAGAACTTAAAAATACTATTTATTGTATTACTTCTGCAGTCTGGGTCAAGAATGTTCCTTTAGGTAGGAATTTGTTCAAGGTAATTTCCCTGCTTTACAGGCTTGATTTGCCATTTTAATTAAAAGAAGAAAAGGAATTTAACTGGTTATTTGACACCAGGTTGGTAAAACTAGCAGGCTACTGAATAATGTCTAAAAGTTCTACTGGATTAATTGGAGGTTATATTAATCTAACTGAATAGAACAAAGGCTAAGGCTTATGGTCAAGGATCATACAGAATATATTTGATACTATTTGATTATAAATAATACCCATTGTTAAGTTCCTAAAGTAATGTCCTTTAGGGTTGTTTCTTACTATATTCTAAACTTAGTTGCTCTAAAATTTCTTAAGAAAACCTCAAACTGACAGATAATCTATCGTTTATTTTTAAGACCATCGCATTTTTGCTAGTATGTGGGAGGAAGGGCATTTTGGAATGTAAGCTTCAGTCATTTTTCTATCTAGGACCTAGCATACTACCTTCAGATGCTGTAGTCAGTCTTCTATCTCTTTTCATTTTGGAGGGGAAAAAAACCCAACTTCAGCGAGACAGCCATTCCTTTGGCTGTGCTGATCTCTCACCTTTGACCTTATTCCAACGAAGGTAAATTTTAGATCTAAACTCCTAACTTCTACTGAGAACAAATGACTTTGTAAAATATGCTGCTACTGGGAATTCGAAGTGTTACCTAAACCCTGTGGATTGCTAGTTGGTAAAAGAGTTGTATAACAGGCAAAAATGTTAGATTCTATCACTAGACTGCAACAGTTGTTTGAATGCCAGCCAGGAACTTGAACACAACTGTTTCTCTCTGAACAAAATACACTAAGAATTATTTTTCATCTACATCATGAAGAAAGAGACATTGCTAAACATGGGGGTTACATATAACTTTGGGAAACAATGACATTATTTGGGTAAGCAGTGATGGGTATTTACAGCTTTGTTAACAAAGTGAGTTGGGACACAGAAACCCTTAGTTGTTTTTTTAGCTATTTATAAGAAAAATGACATTTTAAAAAATAGTTTGTGGTGTAGGACAACCATAAATATGTATCTCAGTGGCATGTTCTGGTTATATAAACTATATATGCCCATGGATAAATCATATCTAGAACACTTTAAAATCAATAAAATAAAACTATTATAATGTTTAGTTATTTCAGTTTTTAGGTCTAGAATCAGCTTTCTGCTCTCAGGTATTTTCTCCCCTTGTATTTTCAGAATTCCTTTCATAATAGTAAATTTTTGGTTTTGGTCATTGATTTCTTTTCTTGATTTAGGTTTCCAAAAGACACTAACTGGATTTTACTATTTACTCCTCTACTTATCAACCTACATGTAGGCAAGTAATAACTGAATTATGTACAAAACACAAATAAAAATCTGTAGAGAAGCAATTTTCCTTGAGTCTTAAATTGAATTAAAATTGTTGCTTATTCTTTCAATTATTTATATGGCCTTTTAATTGACATATTATCCCTAAACTAGTTTTGATTTTGATTTTCCACGCTCTACTTCATTTAGTTGAAAAGTCCATGTCTGCTCCAGAACATTAGATAAAGAGCAGACATTTCTCTTAAAACTAATTTCTAGCCATTTTAAAAGTCTGCCCAGTAAACTAATAATAAAAACAAAAGAGTTGAAATCATTGTCTTAAGAATGAATCACACATTCTTAATCTGAACTGTGTTTGGAATAAAAAAAGAATACATCCTGGAAGGATAAGAGTCAATTTAATTAAATTAAATACCAAGATCATAATTCTGACCCTTTGAGTTGAAAATAGAAGAACCTTAAGTGAAAAGAACTTTTAAGGTGCCTGAGTTAAGCTTAATACAGAACCTAAGGGCAGGATGTGAAGACAAGTGACTGGAAATCCATTTGGATTTACATCTTTTCCGCTCTGCACATCTTTGTCATGTTTTTTCTCCTTTGCACAGAGGTGAACTCTGAATTTTTGTCTCCCATGGAATGACCTCCAGAGACTGACCAGCATCTCTGTCCAGAGTAGGAGGGGGGCGCCTAATTGGTCCAGCTGGGGTCATGTGACTAGGTATGGCCAGAAGGGCAGAACCTGAGGTCTGCAGCCAATGCCCACTCCAGACAAAGGGGCTGAGAAGGCACTCAGGAACTGTTTACTACAATAAAGCTTTCATCAACACATCTCCCTAGACCTTTTTCATTAAACAAGCATTTATCTGCATCACAGGTAATTATAGTTATTTTCTTGTGTATCTCTGCCCATTCCTTGCTTCATATTTTATGCTGCAGAAACAAAGAACTGCTTGTAGTTCCACCCACCCCTCCTCTATTTAGCACCCATATACCCTAACAAAATCAATGAATTTCATGCCTAAACTCCTGTGGTCTTCTCTGCTTGTAATGATCCCCTTTCAATTCTCCTTATTCTTCAGGAGTCATGCCCAATATTACTGCTTCTCTACTTCTTTACCTTCCCGAGTTAGTTATTTTCTTCTTTCTTTATGCATCATAACGTTGTAGCGGTAAATCTCTACTATTGTCAAGCTCCATTGCTTGTGATTTCCTGCTTAGGTTTTGACATCTTTATATCCCCAGACACAGTGAGCCTGGCCTACAATAGGTGCTACAAAATAGCTGACTGAATGTACTCTTAAAGTTTCCCTTTGGTTAATGATTTGACTCTCTGGAGTTAAGAGTGAGTCATTACATGGAAAGCTTTGTCTACATGAACCCCTTAGGATTGTTAACTTGTCAAAGAATTAAATGTCGGGAAATTCTGATCAAACTCCTCTTCAAGGAATGACAGTCAGCCCACCACTTGAGATAGCAGTTTACCTGAAGCCGCCACCAGTTTTATTTTCTCTTAAAACTTCTGCTGGGCTTACCCTCCCCTCCTTTTGAAGGCAATGTTGATCTAGTGAAGTAATGGTCAGAGCATCAGTTCATGAAATTATTTTTTTTGCATATAAATGTTATTTTCAAAGGCAATTTCACTAACTGTATCATGCAGTTCTGTGGACTTTCAACAACTTTAATTCACAAGGTTCGCCTTGATTTTCAGTCCTTGAGACATACGTCTTTTCCCTAGTCTTGAAGTCCATCCCTGCCCTCTAGTCCTAAAGAGTTTGACTCTACATCTCCTACCTTTGCATTAAATGCATCTCCTGCACCCTCCCTCCACTGCCTTGACATTTCATCAGGTAGGGAAATGATGGTTGATCCTAAAAAGAAATTTTGCAAATGGTTGACTTTTGTTAATCTCAGGTTTTGGTAGTAGAGAGTAAAAGAGCATTTCCTCTGAATAGTTTTAAACTGTATTTCTCATCCACATAAATTTAAAACGGTAAAACCTCCCGGACTGCTTTTGGGTACTTTGGGGCAGGCAGCCCCGCAAGTCCTAATAAATGAATTAGCATCTCAGGAAGGAGATCACCGAGGGACTGATATTGATCAAGGTCAGCCGGAGTGTTTGCCTGCGATTGTTTGGGGGGTGGTTAATTGCGTGTCAGTCTCGGCCTGTGTCGTCTCACTGGCGCCGGGTGCTTTTTGGATTTGCTAATTTTCGTTAAGTGTCTCTAGCCGACTACTCGTCCCCTGTCTACCCAGGAGAACTTAGCGGCTCCTACTGATCAACAGTCTGTCTGTCTGGGCTTTATTGATCACAGAGCAGGCGGCTCGAAGCGGATGCGCTGAGGAGGGGTGGGTGGTGGGAGGCTGAAAGCAGACCTCAGAACTCCGCCACCCCCTTTCCTGTTTTCCGACTGGACCCGCCCCCCCGCCCCCCTCACGGCCACACGCGAGCCAGCGGTGGGCTCGGCAGAAGCGTCTGGGGCGACAGCACATGCCGGGGACCACCACTAGTTTCTGGGGCTTCCAAAACGCGCAGCGTGGCTGGGGAGGGCTTCCGAAGGCGGCCACGCGGGTCCCTCGCAGGTTTCGGTAGCAACAAAAAAGAAGCCACGGGCTGGGGGTCGCTGGCCCAAGGCTGAGTTGTGAGGTTGTAGAGACAGACCCAGCGGCGGGCTCTACGCGCGCCCCTCGAAGGTCAGGGACTCTCAGGCCTACGCTAGGGGGAGCGCTGGAGACAGCAGCCGCGGGAGCCCAAGGCCAGACGCCGGCGCCGCTCGGAGCCGCCGGCGGGTCCCTCCCTGCCCGCGTCTGGGCCCGCCCTCTGGGTGCAGGATGATTGACTTGAGCCTGACAGCCAATCGAACGGCGCTGGTGCGAACTCGGGGGCGGGGCGGCGCCGGGCCGGCTCCCCAAGCGGAGCGGTATTTATGGCGCGGAGGTTGGACGGAGGAGGCGGGCGCAGGCGGGAGCTCGCGGCTTGCGGTGTCTGTGCGCGCTCGCTTTCGCAGAGTGGCTGGCCGAGGGCGAGTGAAGTCGAGGGCTCGCTTCTGCCTGTGGCTCCGAGCGGAGCGAAGGAGTTGGTACTCGCAGAGTCGGCCGTCGAAGGTCCTCTCGTCCCCCTCGGCACGCCCTGCAGCCTCACTCCATGCTCCCGACGCTGCCCGGCCCCTCGCCCCTTAGCTGACGGCGCCCGCCTCTCCGGGCAGCACCCATGCACTGCGCGCTCCGGGAGTCGTAGGCTGCAGCTGCCTGCGGCTCCGGAACCGGCTGTGGCTCCGCGGCCGTGGGGGCGTCAATGGATCGCCATTCCAGCTACATCTTCATCTGGCTGCAGCTCGAACTCTGTGCCATGGCGGTGCTGCTCACCAAAGGTGGGTGCCCACGAGCCGGCGGGGGCGCGGCCCTTCGGGGAGGGGTGCGTAGGGTCCCGGGGCGGCCGCCTCCGCGAGCCTTTGAAGCCAGCTGCCTGGGCTTTGTTAGCGGCGAGCGGGGCTTCCTCCCGCGCTGGAGCCCGCAGGTCGCGACAAGTTGCCTGTTATTAGAAGTCGCAGCGGTGGCTTCGCGGCCGACCCCTCGGGTGTCTCGGGGCCGGCGGACCTCAGAGCAAGTGGTTGTCAAAATGTTTGTGTAAGTCTCTCTGTAGTGAACTTATGAATGTTTGCGGCCAGGGAGCGGGGCGGTAGTGTGGGCTCGGACGCCGCCTCCCTCTCCACCCCGGGGCGCGGAAGCCCTGGAGGAACCGCAGACCCTTGCCCCCAGTTGCTCTGCCTGAGTCTGTGTGTCCATACGTCTGAGTCTCGTGTCTCTGTTGTGTGTCACTCCATTTCAGTAAGTTTCTGTATTTGAATATGTCTTTGTATTTGAATGTCTTTCTATTTGAATGTCTTCCTATTTGAATATATCTGTATTTGAGTGGCTCTCTGCCTGTCAGCGTGTCTCTGTTGTGTGCCTGTATTTGCATACATTTGTGTTTGAGTGTTCCTACATTCGACTATGCATCTGCCCGTGAGTGTTTCTTTGTGTCTCCCAGTGAGTGTCTTCGTGAACCAGCGAGCGTGTGCCTCCCTGAATGTAGGTGTCCCGGTGTGTGTTCAGTGTGCAGGAGTACACGCAGTGTTCTCAGTGGCGGGAGGAGTGGGTTCTGTCAGTGGTCCCATTTCCATCCACCTCATATTTTACAAATACTACTAAAATATTGAAAGCAACAACACAATCAAAAACCAGCAGTTTCTCCCTCCCACACCGCCCGCAGGCTTTCACCTTGTAGTTCGAAATAAGCCAAACTCCGTTTAGAATTCGAGGTTACCCCCACCTGCCTTGCCATGAACAAGAGATACATTTTTTTTTTTAATACCAAGTGTTTAGCTTTTGCACCCCCCACTTTTCTCTAATTGCCATGTAGCAGGCATGAGGTTAAAGGATAAGCTAGCCCAGCAAGGATGATGTGCTACAGTATTTATTTATTTTGGAAGGAAGGGTGTAATTAACCCTAAATAACAGCCCTCGCAGCCTTCAGAGGGGAGCCTCCTGGCCCTATCAAAGGCGGGCAGAACTGGGAGGGACTGAGGCTGACATGAAGTCACAGATACCGAAACTATGTGCCTGATAATGATATAATTAGGGGATCAGAGATTTCTGACTGCTGCTGACTTCAAAAGCTTTAAAAGAAGCCAGCAGTCTCTCCTGTAGCCATCTTGACTAAAGCAGACATTTTTGTTTAATCACTACATACAGTAACAAGAAAGGGGGGAAAACAGAAGAGCATTGTTCACTGTTTCAAAATACCAGTCCCCTTTCTGGCCTTTTGCATGCCACAGGAAGAAACTTTATGAAACGACAAAAATACAGTTTTAATACAGTAATACAAAAGTTAATTCAGCTTGCTCAAATGTGGCTCCAATTTTTTTTTTTTTTAAAGTTGTTAGAACTTTTCTAGTTACCTGTCAAAATGTTATTGGACTTTTTTTAGGTCATTGAAGATACACTGAAGTATGTTAAATAGGTTCTCCTAAACATGTAGGCAGCATTTCACTTGTATTCAGTTTTGTTTGTTTTTTTTCTGTACGAGGTCTGAGGTGAATAGGATCAAAACTGACTTAATCTGTTTTATTTCTACCTTAAGTCTGTATATGGAATTTATCACACAGGGACATGCAGTTATCACCACATAAGACTCTAGTGAGCTTTATGCAAAAAATCAAATAAGCTTGGAAAGAAGAGAAAAGAACCCCTGCAAAGCAAGCTCCTAACTTGAAGGTCTTAACTGGAGAAGGGTCTTGGGCTCAGACCCAGGACAGGGAGTGCAGATTTAAAATAGAAGCAAGACCTCCAGCTTTGGACAGTTAAACTTGGCTTGCCAAAGATCTGTGTATAGTTGGCTGGTCTTTTAAGAACTGAAGCATTAGCAACCTCCGGTGAAAACTGAGCATGCCATACGGTGGCCTGGAATTTGGACAGATAATTAAATGAGACACCTTACTCAGGCATCACTAGGGGAGAAGGAAGAAAGCTGAGGGTGAGAGGAGGTGTTCAGTTTCAGAGCAGAGGTTTCAGTAACTAGACAGAACTTCAGATTGGGAAGTTGGAGAGAGGTAGGTACATTAGTTCAATTTACAGTAGCATTAACTGTGGCATGTGACAATGACTGGAGTCTACTGGGCTGGAAATCATATTAGTGATAACTCTTGAGACCCAGATGATTTCAACTAGAAATTGATGTTAAAAGCCTCAGATCTTGCATTGCAGCGAAATGTTAGCAGTCACTCACAACTCGCAAAATAAGTTTTATAAAGGAAACTTTAATCACTTCCTCTAGAAAAATTTGAGGTTTCCTTAAGGATTTTTCATTCAACCAGCAGAGGATTTTCAGATTCAGTGTTTCCCCTTTTAGATCCCATGTTGAATTACATGTAAAACTGGGGAGTAAGGGGAGGAGAAGTTAGCTTTGCAGTTTCACACTCTCCCCTCCGCTCCCAGTTTTATGACTTTCCATTTGGGCTGAAAGAAATTGACTTTGGCAAGCAAACCACTAATTGTAAACTGCCTAGTTCCTGTTTTACAATATACTAAAAGCTCCTCTGCATGAAAAGATCTTTATAGGCAAAGTTTGCCTTTTCTAGAGAGGTTGCAAATAACTGCCCAGTTTCATAGTTTTAAAACCTCCTGACTGGAGCAATTTCTAGATTGTTGTGTTTCTAGTTAATAACTTTATAAGGTGTTAGCTAAAGCTCTTAAATCTTGGCACAGCCCTTCGAGGTAGTAAACAATTCAGTAGTTCCGATCAAATATTTATACTTACAAAATCAAAAAGCCTAGTATTTTCATGTTGTATGGTCATGTAGGATTAAAATGAGTAAATAATGTAATTTACCCTACAGTAGGAGAAATTATTGTGATTATTTTCTTTCAAAAACAAAAGCATTATTTTTAATTACTAACTGATCAAAAACTAAGTTGAACTTTGATTCTCTGCTACTGGGATTCGTACATTTTTAAAATTGTATTCAACTGGATTGAAATTTAAGCGCAGGCTTGCACAAAAGGCTTTTCCAATCTGTGGGGCCTGCTGTTGTAAACGCTAAGCTGAATATCCTGAAAGTTGGTGCCTTTGAGGTTCGGATTTAGCAATTTCTTAAGCAGATGCATTATCTTGTTTCCGAAGCAAGTTGATGCAATTTCTCATTGTTTCCAGGTGAAATCAGATGCTACTGTGATGCTGCCCACTGCGTGGCAACTGGCTATATGTGTAAGTCTGAGCTGAGTGCCTGCTTCTCTAGGCTTCTTGATCCTCAGAACACAAATTCCCCACTCACCCATGGCTGCCTGGACTCTCTCGCAAGCACTGCAGACATCTGCCAAGCCAAACAGGCACAAAACCACTCTGGCACGGCCATGCCCACATTGGAATGCTGTCATGAAGATATGTGCAATTACAGAGGGCTGCATGATGTTCTCTCTTCTCCCAAGGGGGAGGCCTCAGGTAGGTAGAAGCCTTTCTAATCAAAATGCTCACCTATCTCTATAGGTTTGTGACAGCCACGACTTTGTATGTCTGCTATTGATTTTGTTGTTAATGTAATTAGTTGCATGGCTGAATGCAAAGATGCATCCCCATTGAGTAGCTTTTATGTTTGCCTGAGCATTAGATGTCTGGATATCTGTCTACATAATAGGTTTTGCCTGACTTTCCAACAGTTTGAAGACATTAAAAGACCATTATTACTCTGGAATGACAGTCTGTAAACAAATGTTTTCGTAATCTTTTTTTGCCTTTTTTTTTTTTTTAAACATTTATTTCCTAAATATTGTTGACTTAATTGTAAGCTATTTAATGGGGTGCCTGGTTTAAAATGGATAGATGAGCATAAATGTCTATACGTGGGGTAAACAGTTTTGCTTGTGCTCCTTTAGGACAAGGAAACCGGTATCAGCATGAGGGTAGCAGAAACCTCATCACCAAAGTGCAGGAGCTGACTTCTTCCAAAGAGTTGTGGTTCCGGGCAGCAGTGATTGCTGTACCTATAGCTGGAGGGCTGATTTTAGTGTTGCTTATCATGTTGGCCTTGAGGATGCTGCGAAGTGAAAACAAGAGACTGCGGGATCAGCGGCAACAGATGCTTTCCCGTTTGCACTATAGCTTTCACGGACACCATTCCAAAAAGGGGCAGGTTGCAAAGTTGGACTTGGAATGCATGGTGCCAGTGAGTGGGCATGAGAACTGCTGTCTGACCTGTGATAAAATGAGACAAGCAGACCTCAGCAACGACAAGATCCTCTCACTTGTTCACTGGGGCATGTACAGTGGGCATGGGAAGCTGGAATTCGTATGACTGCGTCTTATCTGAACTGAGCTTCTTGGACGCTTGAAGGCCTTTGAGTTCCGCTGGACAGGAGCACTTTATCTGAAGAAAAACAAACTCATGTAATCATCTTTGAGAGACAAAGTGACCTCTGCAAACAGAATCTTGGGTGTTTCTTCTGAAGGATTATTTGCACAGACTTACATACAGTCAAATGTATTTTTTGCTTTGAGATAAAAAAAAGCAAAGAGAAGACTATGTACACACTGTTACTAGGGTGATTTGCATCTGAGGGAGCTGGAATGAGTACCTAAATAAACTAAAATGTGCTCTATGTAAGCTCCTACATCTTGATTTATTGTAAAGATTTAAATATATATATATATTTTGTCTGAAATTGAGCAGTGTCTTGTCATAAATTAAAAACTAAGAGGGAAGTGTAAGATACATGTTAATTATACAAATGAAGATGTGTCATTCACAGTAGAGTCTAACTACAGAATTTGGCTTGACCTTTCCCTTCCCCTTCTCCCCTTCCTCCCTCCTTCCCTTCTTTTCCTCCTCCTTCCTCTTCCTCCCTGCTTCCCCCCTTCCTTCTCTCCCTCCACTTTTCCTACCCTCCCTCCCTCCTTTCTTTTTAAACAAGACCAAAATCTTGTTTATTTTTACATGCATATGTGTAACTTTCTTACAGCATGGAGAATTTCTAAATGGACTGCCCATCATTTAGTGTCTTACCCACATTTTTTGTTTGGATCATTCTAGTTTTTAACTTTCATCTAAGAGCAATCTTAAGCATACTTATACCAGGTCAGATATGATTGATCTGTTTCTGAAGTTGACTTAGCAGATGTGCTATTATTAATCAACTTGATCCACTTGCTCTGGAATACTTTTAAATGTGTCTACCTCCAACCAGGGGAAAGAAAAACCTAAATGAATTTTTTTTCGGGGGGGGGGTAGTTGAAGTTAGTCACTGCCGACTTCTACTGTTTATTCTGTCTCAAACCAAATTAAATATTTTGGACTCAGAATCAGCCAAACTTCATTGGACCATGCTCCCAGTTTTCAGAACTTCTTTCAACACAGTGTTATATTAAGATTTTATTTTCTGCTTCTCAATTTTTAGAAGGGTTTTCCATAGTGAACACTATATATCAATTGAGATTTAAGTAACACAGTGCTTCTAGTTTTCTTCCCCCAAATGATCCTTTTATTAACATAACCAAATAAAACATTGACTTTAGCCACTAACTTAATACACCAGTGTTTCCGCTCCTGTAGGGCTTTCTGTCTGGCAACACTGCCCAGCCTGAATTTAAACCCATGCCACATTTGTGTACTTTGATCCACCAAATGGATCTTTGTTATCTTAAATGAGAATAATTTGCCATGTAGGATTCTTTTTGTTGTTGTTTCTTTTGTGTGTTTGAAACTTTTGCTTAAAACTTAAACTATAGCCTACATATTTGAGTATGGGGTGTTCTTTTATGAGTGTTAAAGGATTTAAAAAAAATATTTTCTGGAATGTTTTATGATGAGCATAGTATGAGTCCCTTAAGACAGATGCAGTAGCCAAGTTCATGGAAGCATCTGGAAGAATCTGAATCAAAATCTAATCTAAAAATGAGTACCTAGATTATTTTAATAATTTATAGAGCACAACCCCAAACAAATTAGGCTATGGAATAAATGTGCATTTTAATAAATGACAGATTTGTTTTGTGCTTATTGAAAATGACAGTTTGTACATGGATGATTTCATGATTTATAAAAGATGTTTTTTTGTGTCAGTTTTTGAGGGAGCCAAGGAATTATTGGACCCAGCTACCCAAACCTGTCTAGAGAATTGATCAAAATTGCCATTGGTGAAATTTCCACCCTTTTGCGTTCTAGCTCTAGATCAAACTATAGTTTTTCCACTTAGATTGAAAGACTTAGTTTTCTTCTCCTGTTTGCCCTGCTACAGTATTCCCTATTCATCCCATTTCTCCCAAGTACCAGTTAACTAAGAGCTAACTCAGTGCACGTGCTTTAAAACACTTGGAAGTCAGTAAAGGAAAAAATCTGGGTTCAGGCTAGAGCTGAAATCAAAAACTTGAAGGTGAATGTAAAGTGTCTTCACTTGGTTCTGTGTTTGCTGACCTGCATCTCGTTCTTTCTACTGTAAACTCATGAGGCTGTATTACACCTCCTTGTTCGGTGGGGTGGTGGTACTGTGCCCGTGCTGCCAGACGAGGTGTTCTGGGGCTCAAGTCCTAGCCGCTTAGACTGGCCCTGTCTCTTGCTAATAACAATCCTCTTTTAAATCCTCTCCATTCATTTAGCATTTGCACATGTCTTAAAGTCAGATCTAGGCATGTGTAACTTGGCTTTTCAATGAAAATATTTCAGGTTTCTCAACTTTGATTTTTACTAAGAACTAAATATAGATTCTACTTTTGCTTTCCTATGAGTGTAGAAGCTGCCAACAGCAGAGATAAAGGACCCTTCATGAAATACTACCTACCTGATTCAGTGATGTAAGAATGGCAATGACTGGTTTGTTTGTTTTTCCATCATAGAGATGTTTACTGTTACTTTGAGGTGTCAGTACAAGGCCAGGCTAACCAGGAACAGCCCCTGTTTAATATTGACATAAAACTACCCCCAAAAGTAATTTTCCTTTCTAAGTGGAAATTTGCCCACACCAGGGACAAATGGGACCAAATTTGCCATGTTTCTGTATCTACACCCCTTACATTCTACCCCTTTAAAAAAAAAAAAAAGATCTGTACCTAGTTATGTCTTTTATGTTATTTTCCCCCCTTATTTTGAAAGGCTCAGAGGCTTCCTAGAAATTGACTAATGCATCTCTAATTTCTGCTGAACAGATTTTATTAAAAACACTGTACCATAGGGGGTTTGACCTTCTAAAATACCAAACATGTCTGCTTTAGAAAATCACAAAACTCTCCCCTGAAGAGCTCGTAAATCTGGTTTCAATATGGGTTGATTATAGGCTACAAGCTTGAAAGCAGTGGCATCTAGTATCATAAGTCTGAAACTAGCCTTTTGGGGGCCAGGACAGCTTTTTTCCCTTATAACCTCTAATTGGTCCTCCTTTCTGTCTCAGTTCAAATAACTTTAAACCTCCAAAAGTTACCTGGTATGATGAGGCTGAATGCATATAGGGTGGGAGTCCAGCTCACTTTGGAGCCTCATAGCCTGGGTTCAAAGACTGCCTTTGTCCCGTAATAGCTGCATGAACTTGGGCTGTTTTGTTACCTATGAAATAGGTCAATAATAATACACTTTATGAGATTATTATGAGGAGATAGTGGACCAACATAGCTCAAAATTTGAGAACATGTACCTATTTGTACAGTGTATATTGTTACTTGACTTTTTCATAATTCAGATCTTTGCATATTTGAGATTTGTAGGCCCTTTAGTCACCTGCAGGCTGGATTTAGTATTTTTAGTATTTGCTTTCAATTTACTGCCTTTAGCCTTTTATATCTACTTCTTATGTTGGTTTGTAATTATTTCCTTTTGGAATAATCTAGATGGCTACTGATGAAAGCATTTTAGTTTCATGTAGGTATTTTGTTTTTTTGGTATTTGCAGAATGAGGTTCTCTCAAGAGTTTCAGCTGTTCTGGATGATTAATCCATTGAGAAAATCAAGAGTCAAGTTAAGTGACAGATAATGTTTCAGAGCTGCTTGAACAGTTTGTGTCTGATGCATTCTAGACAAGTGCTACTATCAATTTCATTTTGCTCCACAGGTACTCCCAACAGAAAACAAATAGTTAAACAACCAGTTTTAGAGACTTTGTGAATGGGGGTGGGGGGAAGTGGGACTAGAGAATGAAAAGTCCCTTTACTTTCTCTGGATGAAGTTAGTTACTCTGTTGGTTAATAACTGCTCCAGACACCAACTCACTCCCTTTCCCTCTCTGTACCCAATTCTTTCTGTCAACGTAGACCTCACTCTCCTGACTTAAAAAGGCAGATTGGTGATCTGAGAATTTGAGAGCCAGTGAAATAATGAAATTGAATGCTCTTTCAAATTTCTACAGCTCCTTATTTGGGGTACAGTGTTAGACTTTAAATATATCCTTGTTAATTTGCTGGCATTGCACCATTCTGCAGCCTAGTGTGTAACTCACTTGTTCACATTACAGAAATTTGAAGATGGAAGTAGGAAGGTGATAAATTGAGTTTAAACTGGTAAGGTTTTAATTCTTGCAGCAAGGCAACAATTTTCCAATGGATCTGCTTTGGGGAGTTTTGAAGTATTTGTTACCTACCAGCTATATTTCTGTAAACTTTCCCCCTTCTATGAATATGAAAAGCATTACCAGAAAGGTATTGACCAGCCATCTAGGGAGATACTCTAAGCAGTCAGTTAATATCTCAAGGTGTTTGTCATTCCTCAGGACTTACGGGGTTCATTCTACCTGGTGGCTAGTGGCCAGATGGTCTTTCAGAGGCAATCTCAGATTGTGTTTAGCTACCCATATCTTGCAGAACCCTAGAGAGATGAGTTGGTAATTATTTATTGCACGCCATGTGTATACAGACATGCCTTTCTAGCTAACAGTTTTTGTAATTCTGGAATAATTTTGCATTTAACAATTTTCAAGGCTCTGTGTATGTAGAAGATGGAATTTGTGAGCAGTCAGCAGTTTGTTTTTAGACATGCGAAGACTACGTTAGTTGTGATGAATTAATAAAGTCAGAGGCTGTTGTGTGTAAATTTACTCTGAGAGATCTCACATTACAAACTTAATGGAACAAAAATTGTTTTAGCAGTTAAAACCAAGAGAAATACAGAAAGCTCTTTATCCCTGGTCTCTTCACCTTGGAATTTCCCCAGGGAACTGATGAGGACAGTGGAAAAACACCACACTTCTAAAAGCAGTTTCTTACTTTTTAAGTGTTGGAAGTCCACCTTGAAGAATTTTTTTACTGAATTTAGTAGATGTGATTTTGATACCATAGACTTCACAGTTGACTTGGTAAATGGGGTATTTCTCACCTGGATTTAGGGATTAAACTGTGAACTCCCAGTGGGGGTCGGCAGTTGGGGTAGGGGGGCGGAGGGCGGGACAGTGGAGGAGGCACAGAGCTAGGATCAATAACCTTTGAACAGTTCCATAATCCAAGCAAAGGACAAGATTGGGGCCTCTTGTCATCAGACATGTGCATTCAGATTCTCAGTAAATACACAAATGCTTCTCTCTCATATGTTTCTCTACCCTAAACTGTCGTTTTACAGATATCTATCTATCTATCTATATATATATATATATAGGTAGATATATATATATATCTATATATAGGTAGATAAACACACACACACACACACACACACACAGGTTTTTTTTGTATTGGAGGCCTAAAGGAAAACAAATTGCTAGTAAGGGAGTTGCTGAGAAACAATTCAAATGGGTCTGAAAATTAATGAAGCACTGCTAAAGTCAACCTGCTCAGCCCAGCTTTTAAATTTGTGGCAGTCTCCAAGCTAATTTAAGGATACTAATTCTTGCCAAGAAGTATATCATCATTCCCCATTAAGCTAAGAGTCGTACTTTCATGTAAATATTGCAAAATATTAAAAGCTTTCATCATTGTTTCTCCAAGGAAGTAAGAACAAGCAACTGATGCCCTGGCTGGTGTGGCTCAGTGGACTGAGTGCTGGCCTGCACACTAAAAGGTTGCTGGTTCGATTCCCAGACAAGGCACATGCCTGGGTTGTGGGGCCAGGTTCCCTGCTTAGGACGTGTGAGAGGCAACCAGTCTATGTTTCCCTTGCATATACATGTTTCTCTCCTTCTCTTTCTTCCTTTCC